AAGACAGTAGTCTCGCTTTGAAAAGAATGTGAACTGACAGAGGTGGACTTTATTTCTGTTTCCACCATAGACTGTTTGTGTGGATTTGGAAGAAATAAAAACCTGGGTATTTGGTGAAACATCTCTATAACTTGTGAAGGGGCTTCACCTGAGCCCATGTGAGGTCCTAACTCCCACTCACAGAAATGTGAAGGTAGACCTTTTTTTGTTAATTTTAAGGAAGGACCTGGGCCCAGTGATATTAACTTGTTACTTCCCAAGTAACACAAATGTCCAGCATTTGGAGAACAGATACTTTGGTCTGCGTTTGGCACAATGGCCACTCTCTCTGCTTTGAGAAAACAGACTAACCAAGAGAAAACAAAATAGAAGATTTAGACAAACCATTGCTTTTTGCAGATGTTGTCAGGTTGCAACATCCCCCACTCATTTCAGGAGCCCTGTAAATCTCACCAAGTTCCCAGTGATGGCCTGAGGCATCAAAACATCTTTGCAAGTCTGGGCTCTGGTGCTTGAGACTCCTGCTGGAAAAGTGTGCTGTTGAAGGAAAGGGGAGGGGAGAAAAACAGCAGGAAAAAAGCCCCCATCATTATGTGGAGGTGTAGGCAGGTGAAGTGAAACTCCAACTAAAATTTTAATTCCAGATATATAGAGGAGGCAATGCTCTGCCCCCCTTAGGACTGCAAGCCCTGAGGTGATCTGACTCACTGGAGGGTGAGAAATGTAATGTGCTGTACTGCTTGCAACAAACAGCATTCAATTTCAAAACAGTAAGTATAGCAGAGTTGTTCCAAGCTGTTCCAAGCAGATAAGATTTAAACCCTGCATGCAAGTTTTACATTGGTGACTAATGAGTGAATGGAGGTGCAGAGCAGAAGTGTCTTTAGTTAGGTAATCTCATTGAGTAGATAAGATTTGACTGTGTTTTCCAGCAAATGTAGGCTTAGAATAAATTATACTCATTTGAAAAGTCACAGGCCCTGTTGGAACTGCACTTTTTATCTCATATAATCAAAAAATGCATGTGGAGTCAATCCATTAGTACCCACGTGCGTCCCTGAGGTGTGCAGCCCCTGCACCTGCAGAGTCATCTGGACATGAGCTGTTCATCATCGATGGGTCCCCATCCTGCAGCCATTCACTTGTTGGACATCTCCAAATGGGTGCCCCAACTGGGAGTCACGACAGAAGCACCCCTTGAAAGCAGACTGCCCATCCCTCCCTCTTCTCTTTCCTTGACAGTGACAACTGAATTTACTGAAGTTTTCACACTGATCTCTTTCTCAGCTGTTTCTGCGTTATCACCCTGGAAATACCTTATAAGTTCTTCTACTGGCCAAGTGGTAAAGTCCATGAGCTAGCTCTTAAAAAACAAACAAACAAACAAACAAAACCCCCAAAATAAAACCACAACAAGAAAAAAAACGAAAAAAAAACCACCAAAAAAACCCAAACAACCAAACTAAGCAAAAGCTTCCATGTGTTTTGACATCTTATTTCCATCTAACAACTGATTTTTCTTCTCATTTAGGGCCACCGGACAATGAGATATTTCTGTTTACCTGGATGAAGCCAGTCTTCATTCATAGCATTCTGTATGAGGGGAGAATTAGGCTTCTGGCTTTTAGCAGCTTTGTGACCTTCAAGAGTGCACTGTGCCATATAAACCTCCTCATTCTCTCAGTACTGAAGCAAGAGAAATCCTGAGCAGTTACATTCACATCTTGGCAATTGACCTGAGTATTATCAGGATGTAAATGCATTCAGCCATAACACAGGAAAATCCCAAATCCCAGCATAAAAGGATACTTATCTTTTTAATGCCACAAAGTCATAATTCCTTCCTGCCAGCAAATCAGCTTCTTAGTGGTTCACTGCAGATGAAGGACGTTGTTTGATTTCTGGTTCGGATACTTGTGTTGGAAACATCCTTGATACTTACTAGAACCTGCTGAATCTTGTGTGCTGAAACACTGGTCAGAGAAAGGACTTTAAAGATGTCACCAGGAAAAGTCACAGATGCTTGCCACATGAGAGGATTAAAGATGACAATTTGTCAAGGATGTGACAACTATATTCCTCTGAGCACATTTACTCATGCATCTATTACATGGCTTCATGGGTTTTGTCTTCAGGATGCAACAAACTGTTACGCCAAAAATGTCCACAGGTACAGGACCATATGAAGACTTGCACCCACATGTGAGGGGAGAGGCATTTTCTTCCCCTTTGAAATTTCTCAGAGATGAATGATTCCTCTTTTCCTAACCCCTATGTTTGCTGCTGTGTTGTACTTGTGAGGACACGAATACCAAAGAGCAGTTCCTGGTTCAGCTGCTGCGGCTAACAGCTCCATTCTGCCACAGCTGCGTCTAGACAAGGCCAAAAGCAAGAAAATCAATGTTCTGGTGAAGTACTGAAAAATGAAACTGTTGCCTAGAACTGTAATTTCAGAGGGATTAAAAATGAGCCCATCACAGGCACCAGTGAGCAACCCTATAAAAATATAATCTTTCTTCCAAAAAAAATTGAACCTGTTTTTTGTTGAACACTTAAACCTCCAAGGCTTGCAGAGCGCTTTGCAGTTTCTCCTCCACTTTTACTCTTGCCTTCTGCCTCCAATCTGGAAAGCCTGGTAAGCAAAAGACATGGGTTCAACTCTTTCCTTTTAAGACTCTTCTTATGTTGAAGCTCATGTCCCTTTCCCTCTGACAAAGCTTTAACTGCATCTTCTTCCTTAAGTATCCTTCTTAGGAGATGGACTGCAAGCTGGTGCCACAGAAAAACATCCAGGTTGTTTCAGAAAGCACAGAACAATAAAAGCTCAGAAGAAGTATTTGATTTTTATTATTGCTGCTATAAAATTACTGTGATAATTATTATTTGCCACTTCACTGATGCCTATTTAGTCCTTAGTCCTATTCCTATGAGGCAGGTTAGTGAATGGAAGTGAGGAAGACTCAGTCCAGAGCTAGGTATGAATCAATGTCAGAGCCCATGTTCATAACTCTGGCCAATCTTCTCCACAGTCTGTTAGAAAACATGCTTTTTTTCCTATGGAACAGGGGCAATATCCACTGCTTCCCCAAGAAAAACTCATCAGGAAGAGAAAGCAGCATCTCATGCTTCCCTAAACAGGAGCAGAAAGAGGCCAACTGTGGGCAATGCTCTCCTGATGATCTTTAAAAGTTCTAGGTAATTTCCACAAGTCTGTAAACTCAGGCTTCCAGAGGTGCCATTACTAAAAGGATATGCCTAATGCCTGATTACAAACTAGAAACAGAAATAATTTAGGTCGTTTCTACAGTTCATTTAAGTGACACGATAATATGGCATTTGTGCTTTCACTGTTGCCTACCTGCATCCAAGTCCACCAGCGGATCCACAGAGAAAAATAAAAATATTCTGGTAGCTATACTCTGTGAAAAAATGAACACTTGTCAAATCATGTACTGAAATTTTCACATTACTGTATGATTTTGCAACAGAGTATTCTATATCCTAGTTATCATCATTTAGCACTGGAATGAAATTCCACCAGAAAAAAAAAATTTGGTTTTCCTTAAACCCTTTCTCCCACCATTGTCAGTGGTATTTTATCTATATTGAGTGAATGCACGGGACCCTGGTTTTTAATTATCAATTTAAAATATAAAATATTTAATATTTTATTGTCATGTAAATTGGAACAGTCAAATGAACAAGATCTTTTATAGCCACTTCAAAGGCATTTTGACATGGGCTTTTTTTGCTACAGCAGATTAATTTCCTCTTTCAGGAGCACCAAACACCTTTGAAAATTTCAGTCTAATGATTCCATCTTCACTTACATTAGTTTTGCAAGAAAATATGACAAAGCCAAAATGACTCAATAACAACTACAATAAACTTGATTTCACCTTAACATCAGCAGGTTGGCTGGATGCATTTCCAAAAGCACTCAGTGATTTGGGGTATAGTCTAGGATAGGCTTTTCAGAACTCTCAATTTCAGAAAAAAGTTTGCTACGGTACTAATGTGGAAGCTCAGAGACTGAAATTCCCCAGATCACAAAAATGTTTTATAATTTGGCATTCGCAAAAGTGGACCTTTTCTGTCAATTCATAAATGCACACCATGTGTGTCAGAGGTCTTTTCCAACCTCAATGATTCTTTGATTCTATGATTCAACCATAAGTGGTTGAAATAAATTCCTTGCAAAAGGGAGGAATTCAACACGGGCACTGGCAGCTCCCCTGCATGAACAACATTTCACATGCTCCACTACCTTAATTTGAGCAAAGCAGAACAGAGCCATCCCCAGTTAAGTGGTTGCCTTTAAAAATCAAACCTCTGTTATTCAAAGCTTGACAGTGTCTTAGAAGATAGGATTGTTGCCATCAGTTTCTTTTGAAACTCTTCAAAATGACATAAGGGAGCGGTCTGGGGTTGTGCTCAGCCATGAACCTCAGCTTGGGTGTCCCACCCCCTGTGAGAGGGACACCCCACATTGCATTAAAAAAGGAAGCCCAGGAGAGAGCCCTTGGACCTGTCCCCAAAGCCTCAGACCAAGGACCAGCACCTCTAAAAATACTGGGAGCCTTTTGGCCAGTTTGGGGACCAGGGTCCTTTGGGCACTCTGAGCACTTTGTGTATTTGAGGCTATCACTTCTTCCTCCACTTTGAGGCAGATGTTGCTCCTCCCAAATCCCACACTGAAGGGACTACATGCCAGAAGCAGCATGATTTTTTCCTCTTCTCTGTGTCTTTACTGAGAAGGAGAGAACTTAGCCTATCATGCTTTCCAAACATGATATAACATTACCTTGGGGAGCTATGCCCCAGGTCCTGTTAGGACTCTGTCATACTGCTTCAGTCTGGAGCACAGGCTTGCTCCTTGCTCCATGGTATACATTG